AGAGTGTCTTCTGGCATTTTTGACTGGTAACCTATTAATCATGATAACGCCTCAGCTTGCCCAAAATCTGTGGTGGACTGATACTTGATCGTGAAATCGTAACGCAGTGTTGTTGTCCATCGTTGTATTCGATTAGCCGTGTGAACATAAATCCCTTTCTTCGACCCAAATACGGCAAGTAATGGCTTATGGTCTGTTATTAGAGTGAAATGCCGACCAACTATCATCTTTTGGAACTTTTTTACTGCAGAGATAATTGATAGAGCTTCTTTCCCAATCTGACTATAGTTCCGTTCTGTCGTCAATACTCTGGCAGCATGGGAGATTTCCTTTTCAGACCCATCAGGGGAAATGTGAGAGATGCTTGCTCCAATACCATAGTTCGAATCATCTGAAGCAACCACGGTTGGTAGGGAAGGATCGTACTGCGTCAGTAAGTGATTGGAAGCTAGGAGCTGGACTGATGGAATGTTTTAGTTTGGACACCCATAACTCTTCCAATCTACTGCCACTCTACTTCACACTGTATGTTGTTTGATGAAATGTAATACATGTCCTAACCTTATCAGTTACTTCTTTCTACACGACGCAGTATATTGTGACAAGATAAGTAGTGATTTATCGTTATAATTCAATATTGTTCAGTTGATGATTTCATCATATTTATCTTATTCTGTATAATTGTGAATCAGTTGAATGAACCATTCAATTTATCAAACCATGTGTATTGTTTTAAGGAATACCATTACACCATCATGGCTTCCTAAATTCATTAGTTCTCTATCATAGTATCTGAATTCTTCATTTATAGATTGAGAATAGATCAGTCATTTAGATTACATTTGTGGAACTCTCCCTCTCTCTCTCTTCTGTCTTTATTAAATGTTCAATGTTGATCTGTTCATTGAATGTAAACAAACAAACATGAATCCATTTAATTCACATTTATTTTATTGATAAATGATCTCAGATAAGTTACTTTTTCTATTTCTGTTACATTGGCTTTACTTAATTACTCTCTCCTCAAATCGATTTTTCTACTTTATGTCTATCCCTCTTTCTCACTTTTTGTATGTATGTATATGAGTACACATTGGTGTTTTATCAGTCAAAGTAAATTTCTTTTGACCAAAGAATGAGTTTAAAGGGAATGTCATTTATAGAATAAGTTAAATAATTTGGCGTACAATTTATCGATTGGGGTGTTCTTTCTGTTCTTTTCTAATTAGATTTAAATTATGTTGATCGAAATGTAACTACTCAGTAACATACAATGAACAATAGATGTAGTGAGATTGTGAGTTCTTTAAGGGACTTTTTTTTAAGGAAAAGATACGTAGACGGCTAAAGCTGTGTCGAATATCCCAAAAAAAAAATGATTATCAGTCAATCGCAACATAGAACCTTGGTACTCATATAATTCAGTTCATGTTGCCATACCTCATAAGCATAAAGAATTGACAATATCTGGTGAGATGATGAGAACATTATCCCTACAAAGATGTCTATAACAAATTTAAATAAAAAATGAGGAAAGTGAATAACTCTGATGAATACCACTTGAAGTAACCTATTCCGATGATAGTTCGCTAGAACTCGAACTCGACCATTGGTGTTCGAGTAGAGAACTTGTACGAGGTTAATGTAATTATTTGGTTTGCCTTATAATGACAGACACTGCCACAAAACCTCATGATCAGTAGAGTCGAATGCTGCCTTAAGGTCAGGGAATACAACTATAGAAGGACGTCGAAAAGTATTTTTATTTTCCAGAAACTGACGAAGGATGAAGAGTTGGTCTATATAGACTGATTTTCCCTGATTAGATCTTCACAAGCTCTAGTTAGACGTAGAAGTATTATTGACGATAATATTTTAGGCGATGTACTAGTTAAACTGATTCCTCTGGGATTGTCACAAGAGATATTTTATTATTTCTTATACACTGGGACGTTGAGCGACCGAGATCAGTGAGATTGGATTATGTCCAGTTCCTAGATTTCAGTTAATCTAATTGCTAAAACTGGACCATACTTACTTATTTACGCCTGTTACCCCTCGTGGACAAGCATAGTCCACCAACCAGCATTCTCCATCGAATGCTGGACCACTATCCTTAAAAATATCAAAAGTCAGTTCATCAGGTACAAACACTCTCCCTCTCTTATAACTATTCAACCTCTCCAGGAGTTGGAGGACATACATCTATTTGCCATTCAGGTTGTCTGGAGATAGCGAATAACTGGAATGTGACTAGAGCTCAGATGCATTCAACCTCTTTCTTCCTCTCGATCTTGAACCTCAGTATACTTAAATATATATCTTTCTATCCTGTCTTTTCGAATCATATTCCTTTTATTAAATCTTTCTTATTTTCATCACTACTATAATGTTTCAATGTTATTTGCGATTTATCTTGTTATTTTCATTTCAATGTGTTAAAATGATAATGTGGTGACAAATTCAATGGATACATATATTTTCCAGTTGTTATGTTGTTAATATGCGTCTAAATTTGAAAAACTTTGTTTTCAACAAACACCTCTAATGTTATATGACAGTACTTACATACTTACTTACTGGTTAGCGTTTTTCTTTTTTGGTGAATCTTCTACGGGATGGGGTCGTTAACTCCCATGCTCAATCCTTCTCTTTTATCCAGGATTGGGACCGGCAGTAGCCCCAAGGGGGCTGTACGAAAAGTGTAAAGAGAGAAAATAAGATTAACTCATTAATTACATATATAGGCGTTTTTAACATTACACTTTAGATTGTATCCATGATTATGAATAATATGGTTGAGTAAATAATTCATTATTATTAGTAGTATTGTGTTATTTATAATATGTTTTCTATTCTCTATAAGACATTATATTATAATGTTATTCTCTCAAGGTTATAATTGGATAAGGGTTGATATTAGCATTGTATAGTGTAAACTCCCGGTTACGCCCATATACATATATATATAACTGCTAATTGAATCATTGGGATTCATTGATCATTATCAATTGTTTTTCTTATCACATTATTCATGTATTTTCTTTAGATATTTTTGAAATAAGTTATACTTAATAGTTGTAGAAATTTGATTTTAAAGAGGTAAATCATTTTCCTCAATTTATTTAATTGTAGTTATTAGTGAAGAATGGTAGCATATTGATTATTGTATTTGTGAGTAGATTGGATAGCTTATCAAATTTTGAAGGTTTAATCCACAAGGTATCATTAGGAAGGCCCCCAAATGCCCTGGTACAACCGAGAGTGGGGAGAGTCTGCTCTCCCTCTCCAAATGCTGTCACACGGCCACGCGTATATAGCCTCTGCCAGGGAAGTCCTACTCACTGCCTTCTCGCACCATGGGTGTTGTTTACGAAAACGAGAGGACGAAAAGCGAATGTCCGGTGCTTTAACCGGATCCCAAACCAATGGTGCACATGGGATCCAGTATCCTGAAGGAACAAATGGCATATGAACCAATTGTTGGTCACCGGCTACCATGGGACTGCATCTCCTTACGATGTTCCACTGCCTTATGGATCAGACCTTTAGGTCGAAGGCTCGGGGTGTGGCTCCCTAAGAAAACCATCAACTTCGGTTTGGGCATCCAGGCAGTATCACAGTCCTCACACATATCAAATGAGATGTGTTTGGTGCATATGTATTTAGTGCCTCTTTGTACCAATATCTATGTGTTAAGATAAATATATAAAAAATAAAGACTAGGTTCGTAGTTCATTCATTGTTTCAGGATGTTGGAGCCTATCCACACCGTTGATTTGAAATCAAACTGATCTTACTTCTGTAAGTGAACTCTCCTTATTTGTCATCCTAGTTTATGCATAGGTATTCCGTTTTCGGTTCCTTCATTTCCGTTCAAATGTTCCTACAGTTGAAGCTGTTGAGTAGGACTTGTCTGATGAAGGCTATAAATCCGCAATTGTATGGCAGAATTTTAGAGGTCGACGACACAGAATACAAGGATTCTTATAAATACTTTGAATGCTAGTGCAAGAACGTTTGAGTTGTGTTCCTCCTTCTAGAAGTGACATTCTACCTTATGATAAGTAGTAGGGTGCTCAACCTATCTTAAAAGTCTCATAATCTTTTATAAGTTGATGGTTCACATTGTGTCAACAGGGATACATTAAGATTAATTGGCTTTTATCAATCTACACTAACTATGGCATACATGAAATTTGTGTCTTTTAGGTACGGGGGGTGAATATACTGTGCAGCATTTTACACAACATTATATTTATAACTTTGAAACATGGCCTTTACAGGTAGAAAATATGTATTTGCAAGTATTTCATTGTAGATATATTTAAAGAATTTTTTGCTTAACATAAAGTATGTATTGTTGAGATTAAGCGTTGAAATTCAGAAGTCACTAAGCCATTATTGACTGTATCGTTCACATCTATAAATTACATGAGATGGTGGAGAAGATTTGTAGCTCAGGTGGATGATTTTGATGGAATTTTGTTCTCTCAGCTGGATGTTTGGTCGTTCAGAAGAACGATGAAAGCTCCACGACCAAACCATCCAGCTCAGAGAACAAAACTCCATCAAAAATTACATGAGTTTTTCAATGTTGGCAATTATAATACCATTGAGTAAGAATTTAATTTGGTGCATATTTTTAAGATCTTAGTACCCCAATAAGATTATCATGCCTTACTAAAAGATATTAGGATATCGTCAAATCGATTATAAGTCCTCATGTGTAAAGAGAAAAAAAAACCCAGTTTTTCTCATCTTTTCTATTTTTCAGTAGATATCCTCATGATGAAAATAAAAACTTTCACTTAATAAACTCTAAGATGTATCCATTATTGAAACAGGGATGATTAGTTTGGCTAGAATCCCACATATGTTTATTCTATACATATCTTGTGTATAGTGCAATCTGATATACCAGATTAATGAAAAAAGCACACAGTTCGAATCTCTAATACTTGTAGTGTCGGTTACTATGTTAAGCCCATATAATTTATCCCAGTTTCTAGACAGGTCAATTTATCAATTCTTCAGAAGTTACATTTTGATCTTGTTAATTATTAACTTTATCAACCCTGACTGTTTTTATATGAGCGTGTGTGAGTGTACATTTCTTATTCTATTCATCACATGCCTGTAGCTTATTTTTGTTTGACTATAAATATTGGTTAAATGGAGTTGGCTCATACGCCTTCTCTACTACGCTCCCTTTCGTTTTGCTTCATTCGCTGCAATCCTCAGATTGTGTTTTCCGGTCAACGATTATACAAAACATGCGTATTCAAAACTACATTCTCGTATTTGATTTGTTTAATTCCGTTATTCACCAATACAAGTTAAGTCGGTAATTTTTGTACGAGGATTGATGAAATGTATATTATCGATAGCATTGAGAAACGATCCAACTCGAGTCAGATCCCAGGCCACATACTTACCGAATAAATAAAAACAGTAATAGAAAATTTGGGGTGCGATATACTTTAGGGAACATTTTAAAGATTATGGATAATTAGAATTGTAAATATTAAGATTACATGTTTATTATATCACATATAACAAGATATGATATTTCATAATTTATCTGTAAAATGTATTAATTGTAAACATTTAGTGAAATTTTAATAGTTGAGATCACGAGTCAGTTGAAGCTAGATCATCATGAGAAACCTGGAAGCACTTGGCGGCTGTTTCATTCTACTGTGGGACTCGTCAGCAGTACGCATTCACGACCTTGCCCCCTGTGAGATTCGAACCCAGGACATACAACAGACTCGGTTGTACTCCACTGAGCACTTCTTCTCACTAAAACTCCAGGAAAAACCTCTTGGAGACCACGCGAAATTGGTAGGCCTTGGGTTCGAATCTCCCGAGGCGGGATCGTGGATGCACACCGATGTGGAGTCCAACAATGGGACGAAACGACCGTCCAGTTCTTTCAGGTTTTCCATGATAGTGGTCTAGCTTCAATTGACTCATGATTTCAACTATTATCATTACTAATACTATCTACAAAACTCCTTTTTAGATTTAGTAAAATGTTATACATCATCAACTTTAAACAAACTTTATGTTTGTTGTATTATTTCATGTTCAACCTTCTTTTTTTTTTTTAAAAAAAATATAAAGAAGAAAAGCTATTCTGTTCATTCATACACTTACATATACACATTATAATGATCATATCATTCATAGAAACTATTTCATATTATTCTATTTATTAGTACAAATTGATTTTCATTTCTATTTATTGGTATATATCGATTAATATGGATTGATTCTAGATGTCCTTTTCTCTCTTTTTTATTGTTGTTGTTGTTGTTCTCTTGTTTATTGAATTTTATTATTATGATTATTATTGAGTATTTGATTTATGTATAATTATTACATTGAATTGATTCATTGATCGATCGATCGATTGATTGATTGACTGATTGATTAGTTTATTGGTTTTTTTTAAAAAAAATTTATTTTCTGTTTTTATGCTAAATGAAACTATTTTCATCTGTTTGAACATGTTTAACTTTTAAAATATTGATAAATCATAATCTTATATTGAGTCTCTTGTAGATTTCCATATGAATAGTTTGTTTTTTCTTTATCGAATCCCATGAGAGGGATCGTGGATGAGCACTGCTGAGGAGTCCTACTGTAGAACGGAACGGCCATCTAATGCTTCTAGGTTTTACATAGTGGTGATCTAACATTAATCGGTTCATAATCTCAATCACAAAACGTAATAATCTCCACAATCCTATACTGATATTTATGTTAACACATAGATATTGGTACAAAGAGGCACTAAATATATGTGCACCACACAAATCTCATTTGATATGTGTGAGGACTGTGATGCTACCCGGGTGCCCAAACCGAAGCATGTGGTTTTCTTAGGGAGCCACATCCCGAGCCTTCGACCTAAATGTCTGATCCACAAGGCAGTGGAGCATCGTGAGGAGATGCAGTCCCATGGTAGCCGATGACCAAGAAATTGGTTCATACGCCATTTGTTCCTTCAGGATACTGGAGCCAGCCCATGTGCACCATTGGTTTGGGATCCGGTTAAAGCACCGGACCTTCGCTTTTCGTCCTCTCATTTTCGTAAACAACGCCCCCGCCACGAGAAGGCAGTGAGTAGGAGTTCCCTAGCAAAGGCTGTATACACATGTCCATGTAAGAGCATTTTAAGAGGGAGAGCAAATTCACTCCACTCTTCGTCGTACCAGGGCATTTGGGGGCTCTATACTGATAATATTTTCATTATTAGAACTCTTGACATTAATAAATATGAAAATACTAAAGAATAGAAATTTTAGTTTATAACCTTTTCAAGTGTATTTCTAGTTTGTTGATGTTTGAAATCGAAGAACTGTCTTTTTTTGGTGTACATCGATTCATTGTAAACCTAGCCCATACTATTTAACATAACTCTTCTGCCTAACGTTTGTTGGGTCTTATATTCGATACATTTATATTATTGACATTCCTATTGTTTAAAAATCGAAATTGTCTTCAAGGTCATTTTATAGTCCTTGATGGCTATCAGTGTAGTATACTTTCACTTATTTATTAGCTTTATTCAATATTATGTTTTTGTTATAATATAGAACTCTCAGCATAAGATGTTACAGCGAGTTTCCGTTTCTTATTATTTTATCGATCCTGACAATAAATATTGAATGACCACCAGTTAGATGTTAGCAGTTCAAGAATCGACATGTGATTAATGTTCGTCCTCTTTAAAGCATATTGCCAGCAATCACGATATCTCCAATTGTATGTTTTAATAACTTGTACAGTGAAAGGTCGTAGACATTTCACAAACGCACTTGAATTGGTTATGCAATTAATTGACATAATGATCTGTTAAAACAAACAAGGAAACAGATAACTTGTTAAAATATCTAGATGGTAGGATCACAGATAGCCCAGATATTCAAGCAGGTCACCTTTTTTGTTTTTGATTGGCCAATTCAGTCGATTTTGATCTATATCACTTAGGATTTCCATCTGTGGATCACAATCATCTCATGAACCCCCAATCACATGATCTTCATCTCACAAATCTTAATTTGACTCTGTTTAACTTTCTTACAATTTACATCATCGCGCATCAAAGTAGACAATAGTGTTGAACCAATATAATACAGTTCAACTAGAAGGTTTTCTCAAGCTTATTTACATTTATAAACTTAAATGAGTTCAATTGTTTCCACTACGTCTTATCACGCATGCATACACTTGAGGTTGGTTTCGACAGAAGCACACACACACACAATCCAATAAATACACCAAATCATTAATAATACAACTAATCTATACATTTTCCTTGTTTTAATTTCTAGTTTTCTTATCAAACTAATTTCTGTTTTTTTCTTATAATTTTTATATAGAAATTCCAAGGGGTTGCAACTTGTCAATTAGATGATACTTTAGAAGTGATTGTGAATAGAATTGTCGACGCTGGTGTAAGTCAATACCCGATTCTTAGTTTGTTCGACAATTAATTATCATTTTTTGTTTGTTTTTGAATGAATAAATTTGACAAAGTTATTGAACATATTAGCACAATAAGCAATGATGAATAGGGGCTAGCACTGGAATTCAGGACGTGCGTTTCGTCCTATTTGGTACTCATCAGCTGGATGTACCTGCATCGCAGAGTTGATGTTCACTCTGGGACTCGAACCTAGTACCACTCGATTCAAACGTGTTGTATATTGAGGGCCGCCAAGTAGAGGGACAGTGAATTTATCGATCGGATCAAGGATGCGTAAAACACGTGCGAACAGCCTAAAGTTCTGATTGGTCCTGCTTTCCGCCTAACCCAGCCAGTTAAGTCCAGAACGTCAGTCTCAGCCTCTGCAATATGAATCACTATATTTCAAACATATTGAGTTTATATGCCGATCAAACAGACCACAACGTACCAATAAAATAGGAAACAACATTTGTACAAGAATTAGCCAGATGTGGCTGTGAATGAGGGAGGTAGTAATTAATGTACTGGGTATAACTCAAGAATGGTAAAACGTATGATAATAGTTTATGGGTCAAAATAAAGCTTATAATAAGAAGGACATGGATATGAACAGATAAGTTACATAACAATAATACGATAAGAATATACTCATAATATCGGTCCATAAATAGATTCAAAAAATTACCATTCATTATTCTTATCGGGATACAACACCTCTCCTTTTTGAAAGATCCGGAGTTGATATCCGGATTTTAAATTTTCCGAGTTCATCCTCACCCACGAAACAGTGTTGGATCCACATATGCCCGAGCTACCATTAATTTGACTTTATTTAAATCGTATTTGTCACATTGAACAGAGAATTTACTAAAGGTGATTAAATGGTGCGGATCAACGTCGCTTTGATTCTTCTGAAACATTGTCATCGGATTTCTTGAAAATCTCATTAGTAGATAGTCGATCACTAGAATAATCAGCACCTATCAAAATTTTATTAGGTTCTTGATCATCGTTTGAAGCATCCGACAAATTTTTCTCATTTTTGTAAATTTGATCAAAAGCATAGGAGTCATTGAGATTACTCATATTTGATAAAACTAGAGAACTCCAATGAGTAGATTCATCAGGAGCTTTTGTTCTGTAATGATGAGCTCTGTTCGATGCAACTGTCGTCATTATGATGCTTGACTCATTTTCTGTCTCTACGTGGGCGGGTACTGCAGTAATTTCATGAGCATTTAATAAGACGTCGACACTCTGTGAGCTGGACAAGGCAGTGTTTGTACATGGTGCTTCAGGAGCAATGAGATTTGGACCCACGTAAGGGCATGTCTCTAAAATGGATATTTCTGCACCACTGGGCGGATCATGAATGACTCCTTCGCTTACATTACTGCTTATCAAGGATTCATAGAGGCTTTTATCGACACATTCATATGTTCCGCAGTCAATTTCCAGCTCGGTATGCAAATTAGAAATTAGTTTATCAACTTCTGTCACCTCTCCAAAACATGAGTGATTCAGCAGCTCAGTATGTTTGAAATATAATGATTCATATTGCAGAGTCTGAGACTGACGTTCTGGACTTAACTGGCTGGGTTAGGCGGAAAGCAGGACCAATCAGAACTCTAGGCTGCTCTCACGTGTTTTACGCGTCCTTGATCCGATCGATAAATTTACTGCCCCTCTACTTGGCGGCCCTCATTATATAACAATGCCTTGAATAATTTGTGTTGAATGTCTCATTATTATTATCTAAACTCCTTGATAATTTCAGATATCTGTGCTTAAATATATACAATGTACATATATTGACCTCATGCATACTTTTGTGTAGATCCTACGTTGATTATGACTAATCATCCATAATCAGTATTCAAAGATGAGGAAATTGAAATTTTTATAAACATATCTTTGTAAGTGCAGAGCATTTATGGAGATTGTTGAATTTTCATAGCTTCAATTACGAATCCATATTCGTTGAACCACCATTGACAACGCTTAATATCTGGACTAGTTAATTCAACGTTTGATACAAATTTCTAACCGCTTCCAATAAATCCAGACTAAATTTACACGATAATATAAACGAATCAATAATGTACAAGTCTAACTTCATTCACTTTGTGATGTTACGCTTCCATTTCTCATTGTCGGCTGTGGTTAACTGTTTTAGATCCGATGTGGTTGAACCCTACTAATTACAGTTTCTCACTAGGATTCCAGAAATTAAATCATCATCATGCCAGTTACTAGTGGACACGTGATTATTATTAGCATAATGGGTTTATGGAGATTGTAGTTGGATAGATATATCCTTAGATGTCAGAGATTTAGTCTAAAATTTAAGTGTTCACGGATGCTCACAGCTTTGTAACTTCACTATGATATACCATGACAGTAGAGTTTTCACTTTCTTTTTAACTGGCTCCATGTAATGTAGTAGTAACGAAAGGGTGGTTTCTAGATATATGGGACCAGAATCGAAATGGTAGTGATCTCCATCATTATCTCTTTGTATCTATCTATCTATCTATCTTTTTACTACAAGTTCTCTTCTTCTTTTTAATTGATTTCTCTTTCTCAGGTACATCGTTTAGTAGTTGTTAATGATAACAAAGTATTAGGTATTGTTTCCCTATCAGATATTCTACGTTTTTTAATTTCTGAACCAACTGTACAAAAGATCATTTCAAATGAATTAATATAATAAAAAAAAAGAATGTAATTGAACTTGGTCCTTCTTATTCACTTCTCCTAATGTAGACATAATAGAATAGTGTTGTTCAGTTGATAATTGTTTTTTTTCTTCTTTTCGTTTCTATGTGAAACACACACACGCACACACGTCTATATCTATCGGTATAGCAACATATTCCCCCTTTCGTCGATTTGTTTTGTTTTGTTCTGTTTTACAGTCGACATATAATTTTCAAATCTAATTATTCAATAGAAATATTTGTCTGACTACTAGTTGATTAACTGAATTATGTTTAGTTTCTTGATGTTTATTTATTTATTCTTTTTTTGGGGGGGGGGTAGACAACCCCTATCATCTTAATATATATATATATATATATATATATATATATATATATATATATAATATGTACACATATGGATTGCTGATGTATATGCATTTGTAATGAGGGGTGGGTGTATGCATGTGTTGTAAGTGTTATAGCATGCTCAACCTCTTTGATTTTTTTCTTTTGTTGTTGTTGTTGTTGTTGTTGTATGGTTTGAACTTATGCTTCCTCTATTTCATTTGCTCCAAGTTTTTTTTCTTTTTTTCAATCCACTTTTATTTATTGTAAATTATTTGTATTTTCGATTTTTGTCTTCCTTTTTTCTTCTTGTTAACAATACTACTACTTTATCAGTAATAATAATCATAATAATGTACGAAATAGTTCTTATTATTTTATTCATGTGTATTTATTTACTTACTCTTGCTTACTTACTTACTTACTTACACCTGTTACTCCTCGTGAAGGAGCATAGACCACTCACCAGTATACCCCATCCAACCCTGTCCCAAGCAATCCTTTCCAGCTCTTTCCAGTTCTTATTCATCCTTTTCATATCTGCTTCTATTTCCCGACAGAATGTGTTCTTTAGCCTTCCTTTTTTCCGCTTTCCTTCAGGATGTATAATTAAGATATATTCTAAAAAAAAATAGAATTCATATTATTTTACAAAGATTATTAATTTATTCCTAATTACCGATCATAATGATAAGTTGGTATACACTTATGCCCCCAAATGCCCTGGCACAGCCAAGAGTGGAGAGAGTCTGCTATCCCTCTCCAAATGCTCTCACATGGCCACGCGTATATAGCCTCTGCCAGGGAAGTCCTACTCACTGACTTCTCGTGGCATTATTGTTGTTTACGAAAATGAGAGGACGAAAAGCGAATGTCCGGCGATTTAACCGGATCACAAACCAATGGTGCACATGGGCTGGCTCCAGTATCCTGAAGGAACAAATGGCGTATGAACCAATCGTTGGTCACCGGCTACCATGGGACTGCATCTCCTTACGATGCTCCACTGCCTTGTGGGTTAAACCTTTAGGTCAAAGGATCGGAGTGTGGCCTCCTAAGAAAACCACAACCAGCTTCGGTTTGGCATCCTCTCAGTATCACAGCCCTCACACAAATAAAATGAGATCTGTGTGGCGCATATGTATTTGATGCCTTCTTGTACCAATATCTATGTGTTCAAATAAATAAATACACTTTTAGATTATTATCAGAAACGACCGCGTCCAGTACTTCCAGGTTTACCATGGGGGTGGTCTAACTTCAATTGAATCATGATTTCAACTTGCGGATTAGTTTAAACTGAGAATTTTCAACTATATTGATAAATTATGCGTAATATGAAGTGTTTAGAAGTAAACATGAGAGTATTCCGGTTTTAATAATGCAAATCATGACTCAATTGAAGCTAAACCATCATGGAAAACCTAAAAGCACTGGACTGCTGTTTCGTCTTGGAATTCTAGTGAGAAGCAGTAACTAGTGAAGTTCAACCTAGTCTGTTGTGAGATATTAACTCACTGAAGACAATGGTAGATATATCGCTTAATTTTGTGGATTAGTTGAAGTTAGATATTAAGTTGCCAACTCAGTGGTCTAGTGATTAAGCAGGACAAAATAGCCGTTCAGTGCTTCCAGGTTTTCCATGGTGGTCAAGCTTCAATTGATTCATAATCTCAACTATTAAAATTATTATCATATTCACAAAATCCCTACTGATAGTATTCAGTTTGTTGAGAAAATCCCAGTGTAGTGATGAAACCATGTAGTAGTTATCTTGAGGTACAACTAGGAAAATATTGTTACATATCCAGAAATTCAGTGGATTTTACTACAAACTAGTGTTTTCTTTCTGATATTAAAAGGCAGTACAACTTTTTCAGGCTGAAGTATTTTCCGAGTGTTGCAGGAAGAGCAAATCGATGACATTCTTTGTTGTTTAACAATAACAGTAGCATTCACTATGTTTTAAAACACCAAAGACTTGTTCGCATACTTCTGTTTCACTGAGAAATTCTCTTCATTTGACTGAGTGATTTGTATAAATTTTATCATTGATTACTATAATGAAATATGGCCTGATGATGGCTTGGACAAACAAGTAGAAATATGATATTCTTAGGCGGCGAATCATCAAGCCTTTAGCTTAAAGATTTAATGCTCCATCGAGTAGAGCGCTGTCAACTGACTACCGTAGGAGTCGGGGACCAAAGTAGGTTCATACGTCATTCGTTCGCTTAGAATTCTGGAGCCAATGTACACTATTGTTTTGCAATTAAGTTTTTCCAACTCTCGTTAAGTGGACTCTGTATCCAACCGGGTTTAAGGGTCAGACTCACTCTTTTATTACTCTCACTTTCGCAAAAAAAACACTCGTCTAAATACAATGGGACTTCCTTGACAGACTAAATGCGTAGGTGCATGGGGGCGTTTCCAAAAGGAGATCGGATCTCGATTGTACCAGAGGATTTTGTAATGCTAGGTTCAGTATTTGAAAATGATTGAAATCAATGACTGACATCAGTTACTGAGTACTGAATGGAACTTTCCCTCGTCAGCAGTGTGTGCCCACATTCTCTACAATCTTCTATATCCTGCAGTGAGTTCGTTACCTTGAAATCACCGACAGTGTGTCGCATGCTTACTTTATTCACTTTACGATATAGTGCAATGTTATTAAACTCGGCCTGACTGCTTCGATTTCGATGTTGTCTAACTCCTTCGTAACGAATCCTAATAGCTATATATTGTAGACTTCAGGAGTTGCGATGTTTTTCGTAAGTGAATATGAATCAATGTAAGATCTGGCACAAAAGTGCCTTAGTGCAAGTTACTATATTACTTAATTAAGCCTGTTGCTCCTCGTGTAGCGTAGGCCATTACCCAGGGTTCTCCAACCAAACTCTATCCTGGGCTTCCCTTTCCAGTTGTCTCCAAGTCCTATTTATTCATTTATTGTTTGCTCCCAATTCCCTTCACAGTGAGGTTTTTGATCTGCCTCAGCCTTATTCCTTCAGGTCTTCTAGTTAGGGCTTGCCTCGTGATGTAGTCTGATTATTTCCAAAATGTATGACCTATCCAATTTCAACGTCTTTTCTTAATTTCCTCTTCAGCTGGAGGCTTGCTTGTTCTGTGCCATAATAGGTTATTACTGATGATATCTGGCCAACAGATATGGAGTATCTTGTATAGAAAATTTATAAATACCTGTATCTATTTGGTGATGGTTGTAGTAGTTCTCCAAGTTTCAGTTCCATACAATAGAAATGTCATAACATTTGTATTGAAGATTATGACGTTGAGTGACAGTTGTTTTGAGTTCCACTTGTTCTTCATTTATAGTAATTCAGACCATGTTTTGCAAACCTATGCCTTCACACCATGCATCATATTCTCCTTGGTTATCAATGATGCTGTCTAATTACGTAAAACTTTACACTTCTTCCAGAACCTGTCCATGAAGTGTAATTTAGTTGGTGTTATATTTCAGGACCTTTCTTATTCTTTTGTGTATGTTGAGGCCTACTTTGTAAAAGTTACTGCTACACTATTATTTATTATTTATTTTAACACATAGATATCGGTACAAGAAGGCACCAAATACATATGCGCCACACAGATCTCATTTGATATGTGTGAGGGCTGTGATACTGCCCGGGTGCCCAAACCGCACCAGGTGGTTTTCTTAGGGGACCACACCTCGAGCCTTTGACTTGAATGTCTAACCCACAAGACAGTGGATCATCGTAAGGAGATGCAGTCCCATGGTAGCCGGTGACCAACGATTGGTTCATACGCCATTTGTTCCCGCAGGATACTGGAGGTAGCCCATGTGCACCATTGATTTGGGATCCGGTTAAAGCGCCGGACGTTCACTTTTCGTCCTCTCATTTTCGTAAACAACAATAATGCCACGAGAATGCAGTGAGTAAGACTTCCCTGACAGGGGCTGTATACGCATGGCCATGTGAGAGCATTTGGAGAGGGATAGCAGACTCTCTCCACTCTTGGCCATACCAGGGCATTTGGGGGCTACACTAACTGTCTTTACATGCATTTGTTGCTGTGTGTAGGATAGAAGAGCTAGGCTATCTGCGAAATCTAAATCGTCTAGCCTTATTCTGTGTTCTGCCTAAGATGTAGGAGTTTTCATAATCCAGTTAATCACCAGAAGAAAGAGAAAAAATGAAAGTAAAGTTTTTCTCACAATATACAAATGTGTAATATAGTAACATTTTCACTTTCATATTGTATGAATAGAGTTGACACCATTAAGAAATGATTCAAATACATGAGTTAGTCCACAAGAATGGTTACATAACATCTTCATCAATATCTTATTCATAATCAAGTATTCTCTCCTGAAAATCTAATAATGAAGTTATTTATATACAATGACATCTCCAAAACCCTTCTATATATATATCTAAACATTTTTATCTGTGTGATTCAGTGGAAACAATAAAGATTCAAACATTAAGATCATGAGTCAGTTGAGGCTAGACCACCATGAAAAACCTGGAAGCACTGGACGGCCGTTTCGTCCTATTGTGGGACTCTTCAGCAGTGCGCATCCACGACCTCGCCTCCTGCGAGATTCGAACCCAGGACCTACTGGTTTCGCGCGCGAGCACTTAACCACTAGACCACTGAGCTGCCCGGCATCCAACGGTGTTAATGTCTAACTTCAACTAATCCATGAAATTGAGCGACACATCCACCATTGTCTTCAGTGAGTTTCTATCCCACAACTGACCTGGTTGAACTCCACTGGTCACTACTTCTCACTAGAACTCCAGGATATATCTCTTGAAGCCAGTCACTAGTGAGCAGAAGGGGTTTTGTGGAGATTGTAGTGATTTCAATCATTCATAGATTAACAACATTTTGTAAGATACACATGTAAGAACTGACAAAACAAGCCTACTAATTATTTGGGCAATATTGATTTATGAGTAGTATATAAGTGGATCATTAAATATTAACAATTCACCTATTGAATACTGCTTTGTCAAATCAAATAGAATTTTACAATGATATTAAATTTCGTTTAGTATTGTTTTTACTTGAATCTTCCCATTGTTGTTTAAGGACTATAATTGATCAGTCTCTTATTGGCGTATGTACTGATAAGTCTTGAAAATTTGAACACTATACTCGGTTCCTAAGCTATTCATGAAAACCCCCAAGCTAGAACTATACAGCGACCTGAACACGAGAGAGAAGCCGTAAAGTATACGAAAAGTACTTTACTTCAAAGGCTCATTCTATTAGAGAAAATATAGGGTTTTTATAATATTTTTAAATGTCCTTGAGTTGCTCAAAGATTTTAGAATGCTATTAAACATAGTAGCAGTATAACAATCAACCAATCAGAACGTTTACATGTGACGTTTCACATCCTTGATGTTTCTGGCTAAACTCCAAGTGAACGCTGATTGGATGAAATGCTTCTTGGTGTTTTCCTGATCCTTGTGTGTCTTTTGCGAGAATTTTTCTGGATCATCCCAAAATGTACATACAAAAATGGATAACGACTAGCAGTGGAATACAGTTTGACGCGTATTTCATCCTATTTGGGACTCATCAACTCAATGTACCTACATTTCATAATTGATGTTCACTTTAGGACTCGAACCCAGTATCGTTCATACCAAACGTCATTGGCGTTATCCACTTAGCTACTAAGTCCTGATATTAAACTTTGTTACTAAGGTCATTTATCATATAACATTTATTATATCACTGTCATTTGACAAAATATCGTATCTATTGATCGTATTGAAATGAAAACACACACAAAAAAAAAGAAACAATATAACATCATAGTTACTAACCAATTTATTTACTTCAATTATTCTTCATACCAATCAATCTACATGATTTACATGACTTAAGTATTTTACTTAGTTCAAATTTGTTTATGTTCTGAAATTCAATAAAATTGATCCATTTAAACAAATCAATAATATAATGAATATATCCAAAATGTTAAGAAATATATTGATCAAGTTTAATTTATTGTTAGGAATATATTCTAAGTTTTCTTGAATAAACAAATAGGATAGTCTAATGTATATAAACAACAGTATTTCTTGGAAAAATTGGTGACTTCACTAAAAATTTTTATCAATTTCATATAGTAGAAGTATGGAAAATCAATGTGAACAATCGATAAATAAGTGTATATTGACATTTACAACTGATTGATCAATGGATATTTACCAATGTCATATGTGTCAGATTGTTAGTTCAGATAGAATACTATTGATCTAGTTCAAATGTGACTACAAGCCTAGGTGACCTGAAATCGCGTGTACTATATTGACTATCTCCAAACATCAACTTACATCATAACATAGTGTAAGCGATGTGGAGTTATATAGACTAGTGGCCATATTCCAACTTGATCTGCACTAAGAAAGACATACCACACATGACACTGGTTACTAGTGACCAATGAATTGTAAATATAACTCAGTCCTAGTGGAGGTCAGTTGCGGCTCGGATAGATCATTGGTAACATGTGATTGTGAAGCTGGGCGATACGAAACCCAATCCACAGGGAGCATCAATTTCCTCAAGGTTATAATTACACTTTGTTGACGAGTGCTAAACAGGACGGAACCTAAGTCTATGGCTTCCTGTCAACTACCCCTAACCACCACCGTAAATTAATATCTTATATTATTCAATACATTTATTAATAGATATATCTTAATTTAGTAAACTATCAATCCAGAGATAATAATAATACGACACCTTAAGTAGAAATTCAAAAGAAAACGCCGAGAAGAATCACAATTAACCACTCATATCGACTTCCAACTCCTTTGATCTTTTTATTTTAACACATAGATATTGGTACAAGGAGGCGCCAAATACATATGCGCCACACAGATCTCATTTGATATGTGTGAGGGCTGTGATACTACCCGGGTGCCAAAACCGAAGCAGGTGGTTTTCTTAGGGGGCCACATCCCGAGCCTTTGACCTGAATGTCTGATCCACAGGGCAGTGGAGCATCGTAAGGAGATGCAGTCTCATGGTAACCGGTGACCAACGATTTGTTCATACGCCATTTGTTCCTTCAGGATACTGGAGCCAGCCCATGTGCACCATTGATTTGGGATCCGGTTAAAGCGCCGCACATTCGCTTTTCATCCTCTTTCAGAGGCTATATATGTGCGGCCATGTGTGAGCATTTTGAGAGGGATAGCGGACTCTCCCCACTCTTGGCCGTAGCAGGGCATTTGAGGGCCCATTGATGTTATATTAAGTCAAGGAATACTTGTCATTACACAATGTGATAAATGGTTCCACGTTAAAAAAACGGTCTACAATGAATAACCGTCAAATTGTTAGTTTACTTTCTATTTGTTCATTTAACTGGGGTAGTTCTGTTAGGAAAACATGCCAACTATTTAAACCAGACAATAGAAATTGAAGTTAAACTCGATATCCACAAAAATCGTCACAATTATGTTATTATTTCATTGAAATCATGAACCGAAACAATGTTAGACCACTACTGAAAACCTCAACGAATTAGACAACCGTTTCACCTTAACAATATGTATCCATGATCCACATACATGGAATTCAAAACTAAGAATCTTTGATCTCGTATACAAACACTTAACTTCTAAACCATTGGAGTCAACATTTAAATGATATGAATATTTAACATAAACCAATCCAATCTATATTATACAACTATCTTGACACTAGAAAGATAAAAGAACAACCGAAAGAATTAAATTATCACATTTATATATTCTGTTATTAACTGTTAGCAGTAAACATAAGCGGTATTATTTTTATTCATGTGAACATTATTATACTTTTATTTCAATGTGGGCAAAGAGAGAAACAAAAGAAGAAAAAAAAAACACTGAGAGAAATAGAACAAAACAAAAAGAAAACACATACATATTCAATAAATAGAATAAAGCAAATTAGAAATATATGTAAATATACGCATGTATAGAGTTGTTCATTGTTAATAATCATAACAATGAAGATGATAATGATCATAACAACAAGAATCAAGATCATATTAAGGGGGAGGCACAACTGAAAGAAAAAAAACAACCCAATCCAGTTGGATCGATTCAAGAGAATCAATAAATGTAGAATTGATTGACACATACACACACACAAATGATTAACTGTCAATTATTTGTTATTGTCAATAGAAATACAACCCCCTTTATTGATGTAAGCACGTACGGAATGTGTGTGTGCGTGCGTGCGTGTACAACAGATACACTTACATCATAACGTACGTGTGCACAAACCAAAAAAAAGAGAAAGAAAAAAGAAAAGAAATTGAAACCATACATATATATATATGATACATACAAATGTGTTAGTTAGTATGTTCACATGTGAACATTTTTTTCTCTAGAGATTACTTATTATTGTTACTATAGTAAATAATCATTTTACTTTTGATTTACCATCAATACATCCTTATCATTGTTTCCCCTTTCTATAAAATATTCGATTATTCATTCATAGTATATAATGTAAATGTATGGCGCAGAAATGAATTTCTTTAATTCATATAAGAAAATAACATTATTTTATTAATGTTTTAGACTACTGATGTTTATCAGTAGTATTAGTATTAGTAGTAATAGTAGTACACAAAACCATTTTATCGAATAAGATGAAAGTAATAGAAGATAGAAAGGAAAGTTAATCATTCCACATGAAATAGATAATAATAATACTAATACTAATAATAATAAAATGAACATTCAAGAATAGGCACAATAAGCAAAGCAAAGTGCAATTGCACACACACATGCACACATCATCATCACCATTATCATCATAATAACACAGAGAATACTCTAGTCAACTAGTTGTCATCACTTAATGATCAGTCATGGTTAATTTATCATCAATGATATACCAAAAACAAAACAAAACATCAATTCATTGAATGAATGGATGAATGAAATAAGCAAGAAATGTGAAAGAAATCGACTACCAAAAAAAAAAAAAATACACACCGGGGATAAATATACATCAAACTTAAGGCTCATAGTGTATATATGTATGTCTGTATGTGTACGTGTGTGTGTGTGTGTAAAAGAGATAATGTGCAGTTGTTGTTATGATCAACAACAACAACAACAAAAACCAAAGAAAATAAAGACAATAATGATAATTTGATAAAAGTAAACGAATTACATATGTATATATTGTTGTACTCAAATACCCATTACATCATTGATAGATTTGGTCAGTATATATACTTATATATGAGTATTAGCGAATTGAATTCCTATCTTGTTGTTCAGTATTATTATGTATATATATAATATTAATGTATGTAAGTAGTGAATAGATCTTTATAAAGTAGTTATTTTTTTCTTCCAATATACTGAATATATTCTTTATGTATATCAACCAAATGAATTCAAATGAATGACACATAGAGAAGAGTTAAACACAAATAAAAAATAATATCAATAAGAGCATATTTTGATCATGGTGCACCGAGAAGATCTGGTCGTAAAACTGGTTGTGAATTAATTGATACACCACCACTAACACCACCAACACTAAGACCATGAGGATTATTAATAGGAGCATGTCCTGCACGTATTGGTTTAGCTATTTGTGATTGACCACGACGTGCTGTAACATTACGTTGACGTACAACTTCTTTTATTCGTTCCACTTCAACTTGATAACGTTTACGATCACGCATAGCACCTTCTTTAGCTTCTTTTAATGATAATTCTAAACTACGTACACGTTCAAGAGTACTCTGGGAAATGGTTATTTAAAAAAAAAATTTTTAATTAAAATTCTATATTTTATACTTACGTAATATATAAATGCAAATATACGAATCACGGAGATAAGAGTAAACTGGTGAAACCTACTCAGTCTTCAGGAAAAACTCTATCGGATCGTAAAAATAACAGATCACAACACATGTTGAAGTGAAATACAAAAATACGCTAAGTATTTAGAGTTCCTGTTTGTTTTTTTTTTTTTCGATAGTAAATTCAATAGTTGATATTATTAAGACAATAATTAGAACTCGATTGCAGAAACATTTGAACTTTATTCGTCATACATTCCCCTACTACAAATTCAAAAACTGATCTACGAACTGAGCCGACGATATTAGTGGAGACGTTGGGCGTGTTGACCACTTTTCTGATGTCCTGCCGTTTGACGAGATCTCGGCACGGATTCAGAAGGTTCGATAGGCTTTTACCATCTCATGTCACCTGTGATGTGAGCAAGATATCCATCTACCAACCTAATTACGAGTACACTGTTCAGCATTTCACTTCACCCTACCTAATACGTGTGAAACATGATGATTAAGGAAAAATGATATTCGTGTCTTACTAGTATTCAATTGTACGTGTCTTCGAAGTATATCTCGTGCAGTTTTGAACCACGGAGTAACCAATGTCTGAACTAAGAATAGAGTACTAAGTAAAGATGGCAAATCAATCGAATAAGTGGTGAGTCTTCATCAACTGAGGTGGTTGGGACATGTGTTACATATACACAACCACCGCCTACCTCGACGGTAGATGTTTTCTGCTAGAGTAGGCTTCGAGAAAGCCTGGGTCAGCAAAACGAAACATGGTATCAATTCATGAAGTCAATAGAATTGAGTCTTGTTAATGACATGGCTCAAAATCGTTTACAATGGCTCAGATGCATCCACTCTTTGTGTTCTCCCAAATTCTTTGTGTCCGTTTTCTTTTTATCTTTCCAAATTTATTTCAATGGATTATACTCTTTGAATAACACCTTCAAACCCTAATCTTTCGGATTACTGCTTATACACTTACTAACTCTACCACTAGGGGATTTGAATCGATAACTGAATCTTTGTGCTAATGTGGTATGGCAACTCGAACTGATGTACGTACGTAGGAAGTTCTACGTTGTTACTGACTGACTGAATAGGTGTAGACTACCTGATTGTTGTCCGCGTGATTATAGTAACCAATGGTTAAATACTTGAATGAAAGGGTTAGAAATCGTTTGCAATGGTGCAGGTGTATCCACGCACTAACTTTCCTCAGATTCTGAGCTTCTGAATTCATTAAACTTTTCTTGTCTTTATTTCACTAGTTTATTATATTTCCTTCTCGAATCGTATCTTTGACGCTGAATATTTCACAACTTCACTGATACTGTTACTACCTTAACTAGTTTGGGGTTCGGGCTTACAATTTCATCTATGTGTGGACAGGATATGACAATTTGAGTCAATGTACATACCTACCGGTTTCTACGTTGTGACTAACTGACCGTAAATTTTGTCGGAAATCCTATGCCCATTACATCAATATATAGACAGCATATGAATAGGTATGATTTTACGAAAAAAACACATAAATTGTATACATCTACAAACTAACTAACTAACCTTTAGACGTTTTTCCATTTTTGGTAATTCACAACGTAATTCTGCATTATCATGAACAAGTTGTTTATGTACTTTTGTCAATTTATCTAAATTATTTTCAAGGAATGCAATTTTTTCACGTTGTGCTAATGTACCAACTTGAATTGGTTCATCATCGTCGTCATCATCCATAAGTAGACTTTCAGAGATTTGTTGTTGACCTGGTATACCACTACCAGCGTTCGGTGTATTACCACCCTGGTTAGCATTATTAGTATTATTATTATTAGCAGTGGCTTTTTCAGCTGCAGTTAATGCATTTACACGATTGGCAGACTAAATAAGGTAGAAAAAGAAGGATTACAATAGTGTCACCGCTGACGGAAGCAGTGGGATTATTAAACAACAGATGAGATTCGTATTCTCTGGAACAATATTGCAGTACTTCTCAGATATAAAGTGTTAGTATACAGATTTTATTTTAACACATAGATATTGGTACAAGAAGGCACCAAATACATATGCGCCACACAAATCTTAATTGATATGTGTGAGGGCTGTGATACTGCACGGGTGCCAAAACCGAACCAGGTGCTTATCTTAGGGAGCCACATCCCGAGCCTTCGACCTAAAGGTCTAACCCACAAGGCAGTGGAGTATCGTAAGGAGATGCAGTCCCATGGTAGCCGGTGACCAACGATTGGTTCATACGTCATTTGTTCCTTCAGGATACTGGAGCCCATGTGCACCATCGAATTGGAATCCGGTTAAATCCGATGCCGGACATTCGCTTTTCGTCCTCTCATTTTCGTAAACAACAGTAATGCAACGAGAGGGCAATCAGTATGACTTCCCTGGCAGAGGCTATATACGCATGGCCATGTGAGAGCATTTGGAGAGGGAGAGCGGACTCTCCCCACTCTCGGTCGTACCAGGGCATTTGGAGTAATTAGAAAAGGTGAAAATTCTAGAATTACTCTACGGGAAATTATAATGGTATATTTACTAAATATTTAATAAATGCTGACAATTTGAATCGGTGTACACATTTACCAGATTCGATGTTACGTATAACTGACTGATATGGTATTTTCTATATTGCCCTAATTGTAAAGATTCAATTACCTTATGAACTACTGTCAAATATTCAACCTCTCTTGAATTACCATCAATAATACGGAATAATTCGATTGGTTATTTTCGAGTTCACATTAGCCTTTGAGAATAGAAGCTGTGTCGAACGATTAGCGGCAGGATACTCAATCATTGTATGTTATTGTTTTATGATTGATTCACCTTAACATCATAACTCTACATGAAATGAGGACTATAGTTGACATATTGTAATAACTTGAATGTTATTTCGATAACAAACTCATCAATCACATGGAAGAGACTGACAAAAGTGAATACCTTGGGTTTTTACGCTTTTAGTTAACATACAGTATTGATTATAGCTACAGTAATAAAAGCATTTCCCCAAGACGTAAATTATGAGGAGAAAAAACTGACTTATTCAATTAGTTCTCAAGTACTCAGTTTCAAATAGACATACATTATGAAGTAGATAATCATGATGATCAGAATGCAAATATAAAATGATATTAATGGGTCTAAATTTATGTAAAATACTGAAACTTTCGGACTGGTTTGTTGTAACCACAAAGGAATCATGCTACATAATATAATAACATAGAATATATGTGAAAAACAGATAGATTATCCATTTACAAAACACAAGAACAATGAGAAAACTCTAACCTTTTTAATTCGACAATTAAGATCTTGTATGAATAAACGTCGTAGATTATGCAATGTTTGTAATTCTTTAATAACAGTCTCTTCTAAACCACGTAGATCTTCTTTTGCTTGTTCACGTTTCTCTGTAGTTTTCTCTAATGTTTCCAATCGTGTAGTTTTATCCTCTAGTTCTTTACGTAAACGTGTCACTTCTTCTTGAGATTTTTCTGATTGGAATTTGAAATTATTTGCTTCACTAGAAAAAAAAAAGGTTGGATAGGTGAAGAAGACATAAAAATTAATGAATTGACAGTTTAGCTTATCAATAAATATGAATAATGCCAAACAACATTGTTTATCGTCAATAAATGAAGACTTGATATTTTTTAAAGTAAATATAGATAATGAACCGATTGATGTTACACTACCATTGAAATTTTGGAAGCATTCAACGGCCGTTTCGTCCCATCGCGGGACTCCTCAGCAGTGCACATCCATGATCCCGCTTGCGGGATTCAAACCCAGTCTCAGTCTCGTGTGAGAACACTTAACCTACTGGACCATTGAGTAGGCATTCAATGGTACTAATGTCTAACTTCAATCAATCCACTAAATTGGGCGACCATCTCTACCCGACAGAGATTAGCTCTACTGGTAACGGCTTCTCACTAGAACTCCGAGGATTCTCTCACGAAGTTAGTCACTAGTGAGCACATGATAATTATACTGATAAATACAGATAATGATAAAGTCATCTTATTTTGTAATTTACATCACTGGTAGATCATATTTAGACAAAAATTGGAAACTAGGAAGAACTGAACAGCTGTGTTCTCCTAGTCTGAGATTTTTAAGGAGTGATCATCCATAACCCCACCGGGAACCGAATCTAGGGCTTTTAGATTCATGCCTAAAAGGAATGTGAATGCCAATGTTTTTTTTTCTTTTCTTCTAAACTGTATTTAAGTTTACTTTCACCTTAATTGTTATCATAACAAACTATTCAAAATTCTTTTATAGGATGAATAACTTGATAAACTGTCATTAAAACAACACCTTTCGGCTTCTCATAACTCTAACAATTTCAACATGGTATCAACTTGTTTTTTTAGTTTTTTGTTATAATCTATCAAAAATAATTAGAAATTTTAATGCCCTTGATGCAGAGGATCCTTGGGAGACCAATCATATATGCACCCGGACAAGAAGAGCACTTTGTCACGATGGGTGACACTCAGTCATTGTTTTCATTTTTAGGTGGTCTCAATGTGTTAGAACTCAGTATTTTTTATGGAAATCTAATGGTTTAGTTAGTCAATGCGACAATGTGAAAGAATTTATTGCCGTACACATACCAAGTTACCGTCTACCTGATACGTTATAGGGGCTGGTGCTAGATTACTACGGAAGAAATTTAAGGGCATTAGTGCTTTCAATCTATGAAACGAGAGACCATTGATTAATGTCTTGCTGGTAGGTATATATTTTCATATTGGCATCCGGACGATAATTGTGACTTATATAATTAAGTGAAGTCGCACAGGTGTATGGATTCTGTGATTGTTTTCACAATCGCAGACACCGCTATACAAATACTACTACTCTTTCGCTATACATTGTGTTTATTTTATTCAGCAGTGCTAAATCTATTTGAGACCATTGAACCGATAGATACATACGTATAAACCACTATGTTGATTTTAACTTATTCCAATCACCTATTTTATATGTTTTGGAAAAGCTTCTCTCCTCCAACATCAAGTAAGTTATTCAGTTATAATCAATGTAGAGCCTGGCACAAATGAGCGTCAACTCGAATTCCCACGTCTGATTGGTACGACTAGATAAAAGTAACAAGGGTCAAAATAATTTTGGCATTAATGATAACGGGAATGTGGTTCGGAAGCATTGAGTGAATGAATACTGGAATTCAAAATCGAGGATGAACGCATCAAGCACTATGGTAACTGTTTTTCAGCCATATTTCTCAACGTCTCCAACCACTGGTTGCGAGTATCGCGCGAATCCGTTTCAGATCGTCTCCATCAACAGTCATGGTTCAAACCAGTAGTTATGACTTCATGAATTGATGACAGATTTTGGTTGGTTGCCATAAGATTTCTTCCAACTTATTTCTCCTACACATACTAACAGACCGCCTGTCAATATTGACAGTAGTTAGGTGGCATATGTCCTAAGCATCAAAGTCTACGAACATTCACTACCAACTTACTCTTTATATTCTTCTAATTTCTTTTGTTTTTCATCTAATTCATCACGTAAACTTTTCACTTGTGTAGCATAATGTTCCGATTGACGTTTAAATTCTTCATCTAATTTAGCACGTATAGCTGATTGTCCAGAGAGAATTTTTTCATTTTGTTCACCTGAACCCGACATAAATTGTTCATTTGCACGAAGTTTTGCTATTTCTGCGTTCATATTATCAACAGTTTCTTGTAAATGACGTTTACGTGATTCAGATTCATCAATTTTATCTGTTAATGTAGCAATTTTCACTTCAAACTAAAAGATGGATTTTAGATAGAAAAAAAAAGTGAAAATTGTTAAACAAATTAATTGAAATCACATGTTACTAACACATTTTTTTTTATTAAGATCATGAACCGAATGATGTTAGACCACCATTTAAAATTTGGAAGCATTGGACGGCCATCTTGTCCTATTGTGGGACTCCTCAGCAGTGCGCATCCACGATTCCACCTCGCGGGATTCAAATTGACTTATGATCTCAACAATTGAAATTACTAAAATCTTCACAAAAACCCCTTCTGATAATAATCAACATATACTCACTAGTGACTGGTTTCCAGATGTATGTCTTAGAGTTCTAGTGAGAAGCAGTGACCAAGGGAGTTCAGACGGGTCTGTTGTGAGATAGTAACTCACTGATGACAATGGTAGATGTGTCGCTCAATTTCATGGATTAGTTGAAGTTAGACATTAACACCGTTGGATGCCGGGCAACTCAGTGGTCTAATTGTTAAGCGCTTGAGCGCCAGACTGATCGGTCCTGTGTTCGAATCTCGCGAAGGGCGGAATCGTAGTAAACATCAACTCTAGGATGCACTTACATCCAGCTGAAGAGTCTCAAATAGGACGGAACGAGCGTCGTGAATTCCACTACTAGCCATCATTCATCTCTGTTTAAAATCAACTCTTAGGTTAAGTATGTTACTAATCGATCAAGTTTCAAAATAAAAGATAATAGAATTGTATCCTCGAAGAACATCACTTTTATCAGTATTATTTTAAGTTAATGAAATAATTTGATGTTGTAGGTAAAAGGTCGTGAAAATGTTATTTTCATTCAGTGGTGTGTGATAACCATTTGATTTGATTGGTATTCGTGTAAAGATTAGCCTTTTCTTTCTTTCTTTCTCTCTCTCTCTCTTTAACTTTCATACTGTTAACTCATTGTTCAAATGTCATTATGGTGGATTAGTTGTACGAATTACATTCATTCTCTTATGAATGTACTAATAGTATATTAGTAGTAAAATTTACAAGATTAAATTATTTACAATAAAAATGGAATGATTGTTCAGTAAGTACTTCTATTAACCTATTTGGTTGTCTAATCAGTGATATATTTAGTAGCAGGAATGCCCTGGTACGACCGAGAGTGGGGAGAGTCAGCTCACCCTCTCGAAATGCTCTCACATGGTCACATTCGTGAAACCACTGCAACGGAAGTCCTCATCACTACCTTCTCGTGGTGGGGTGTTCTTTACGAAAATGAGAGGACGAAAAGCGAATGTCCGGTACTTTAACCGGATCCCAAATCAATCGTGCACATGGGCTAGCTCCAGTATCCTGAAGGAACAAATGGCATATGAACCAATCGTTGGTCACCGGCTACCATGGGACTGCATCTCCTCACGATGCTCCACTGCCTTGTGGATCAGACATTCAGGTCGAAGGCTCGGGGTGTGGCCCCCTAAGAAAACCACCTGCTTCTGTTTGGGCACCCGGGCAGTATCACAGCCTTAACACATATCAATTGAGATTCGTGTGGCGCATATGTATTTGGTGCCTTCTTGTACCAATATCTATGTGTTAAAATAAATAAATAATAAATAACAATGAACACAACATACAGCATGAATTCTTGTACGTAGATCTTTTGATTCATCATCACTTTTACGCATTAATTGTACATGTTGAACACGTTCTTCTTCTAATTGACGTACACGTGATTGTAATGATTTTGCTTCAGTTTTCATTTTACTTATATATAAACGAACTACAGTGAATTCTTCATCTAATCGTTCAGCGCCAACAGATGGTTTCTATTATGAGATATGGAGACCAAAAAACAAAAACAGTCAAAGAAAATCATTAGTGATGTAAGCATTCTTTATTATCATGCTTTAAAATAGAAGAAAGATGTATGTACGTCTAAGTGTTAACATTTACATTGAAACTTAAGTCTCTTACATTTCACTCTAATCGTTAAAATGTTAACTTGAATAACTCAGCGAATAAAGACATTCTACAATACTGAATATCTGGGATTCAAAATGGACCCATTAAAGAGTTAAATAACACTCTACCAACGTTTTAATCCAGGTGTCATCCAAAAAGTAGTTTTTATCAGAAGTTCATTTCTGCAGTAAAAGTATATTTCTTTTATCATTGTAATGTGAAAATTTAATAGTTGATATTTTAAAACTTTAATTTATCAACATAACATGGGCTAAGTATTTATTTGAACTCATTCAAGGTTGGCGGATACGGAGGATCCACCTAGGGGAGTTGGAAAACCCACCAATGGTGTACATGGGCTCCAGTATCTTGAGGGAACAAACGGTGTATGAACCAATTATTGGTCACCGGCTACCAAGAGACTGTATCTCCTGACGTTGCTCCACTGTCTTGTAGATTAGACCTTTAGGTCAAAGGCTTGGATGTGCCCTCCTAAGAAAATCACGTGCTTCGTTCAGGGAACCCGGGTAGCATCCCAGCCCTGACATAAATTGAATGATTCATGTGGCGCATATCTGTTTAGTGCCTTCTTGTACCAATGTTTGTGTGTTTAGCTAAATAAATAATATACAAGAAACCATTAAACACAATAAACAGAATGAATCTTGATGGTTTTATCAATATGCAATTACTACTTATCACCAGTTGGGGGGGGGGGTAAGTCTTTCTGTTTTCTTGCATATTGGATTTACTTCTTTTAAAAATGTATACAATTCACCTTAACTAAAAATAAATTTATATATGTATACATAAGCTTTCTTTCTCTCTCTTATACAAACACCCATATAAACACCCACACACACACACAGAGAGAGAGAGTAAATTAAGTGTACTATAACTACTTGTTTTTATATTTTTATGGTCGCATAGCAATGAAAAAGGGTGAAGACACTTACTTACTGGTTGATTGATTAATTGATTTAAAGTAATCAAAACACCTATCAATCTAATTTGTGTGAATCATTGAAGTAAAATAAATGATTTTATATACGTGTGAAAATGGATTACTTCTCATATGAACAGTTTTTTTTTATGTCCAATGTTTTCCAATATAGTAAAGAATAGTTCTTCTTATTTGGTGTTTAAATACTTAAGGTTTTAAACGATAATATTCCTTTTGAGTGTAGAAACTCTAGTGATAGACCTCAATTGCTTAAACCAACATAGGTGAAATAGAGTCAGTCAGTTACAATGTAGGACCAGGCACATATGTACATCGGTTCAAGTTGCCACACCTCGTTAGCACAACAAGATGAACACCAAATTCATAGAAGCAATTAACTCAATGATATAATATGTAAAGGAAAGATTGTATATAAGGATATAGTACAGGAAGAAAGTTAGTTCGTAGAAAGAAAGATATGAAATAATTTTAGTCTCATAGTTTAAGGGAAGATAGAGTGTATACACCTACACCATTGTGATCGATTCTGAGTCATGTCGCCAAGAGTTTCCAACCATTGGTTACGTTAGTCACGCGGACCCCAAACAAGTGGTCTGCATCTACCAACATGGCTCAGACCACAAGTTAGTGACTTCAAGCACTGATGCCACGTTTCGGCCAGTTTGGCCGCCTCTAACTTTCTTCCAACCATCCCCAAAACACCAGTTAGCATTGCGCGTCGTGGTAATCGGTGTTCAGGCATACGCAACACGTGGCCCAACCATCTCATTCGATAAAGATTCACAATCTCATCAACTGATTGGAATGTATAACTGGATGATTGAAAGTTGAATGTTTAATCATCACTAAGTCAGAATTACTCTCTAATAGTTAAATGTTCATATAATATATTCCTTAAAAATGATGAAGATATATATAGCTTGAAAGTTATTGAAACAAAAATCATTGGCACTGGAATTTATATGCATAATGAATTGAAAATGGATCAAAAAATAAACATAACAACTAAGTCAAAATCACAGAAATCTGATGAAATCATCTTATACGTTGATTAATTTCCGGATTATGTAAATAAACTTTGTTCCTTTGAAATAGTATAAAGTGTCAGAAGGGGTTTTTGTGGAGATTGTAGTAATTTCAACAGTTGAGATCATGAGTCAGTTAAAGCCAGACCACCATGGAAAACCTGGAAGCACTGGACGACCGTTTCGTCTTATTGTGGGACTCCTCAGCAGCGCGCATTCATGATCTCACCCCATGCGAGATTCGAACCCAGGACCTATTGGCTTCAACTGACTCATGATCTCAACTGTTGAAATTACTAAAATCTCCAAAAAACCCTCCTGATACTAATCATCATATGCTCACTAGTATATATCCTGGAGTTCTAGTGAGAAGTAGTGACCAGTGGAGTTCAACCAGGTCTGTTGTGAGATAGTAACTCACTGAAGACAATGGTGGATGTGTCGCTCAATTTCATGGATTAGTTGAAGTTAGACATTAACATTGTTGGATATCGGCCAGCTCAGTGGTCTAATTGTTAAGCGCTCGCGCGCCAGACTGATAGGTCCCGCGTTCGAATCTCGCGAAGGGCGGGATCGTGGATACGCACTGCTGAGGAGTCCCACAATAGGACGAAACGACCGTCCAATGTTTCGAGGTTTTCCATGGTGGTTTAGCTTCAACTGACTCATGATCTCCACTGTTAAGATATAAAGTGATTTATTAGTCCTTCAAAAACATTTACTTGTTTTAAACTTGGATGGATATACACTTGTGCCATGAAGTCGTTAACTGTTAATCTGAGTTATCCTGCTGCATGAAAACTACATTAATTTAGGTGAGCGGAATCATCATGACCCATGGGTTGTAGACATTGTATAACGTGGATTAGAATTGATACTAATGACGTAAATGTATCTATTCTTTGTCGTCCCTTAAATTTTGAGTCTTAACAATATTTTATACTTTTTATTTTGTGAATTAATTCATTCTTCTCAAATAACATTTCCTATACTTAATCTATTTTATTATGATTGGTATTCATCCTGATCATGTCATGTTTGTGACAATTCGAACCAGTGCATATTTGTGAGATTCTACCTTGTAGTGTTTGTTACTATGTAAAGCCCAAATACCTTATTTTCTAGCTCAATCTATTCATTTTACTTGAGTCACATTCTAACCTTGTTCATTATTCGCTTATTAATCTTGACTGTTTTTATATGAGCGCGTAGGTGTGTGTACACTTCTTACCCGCCAACTCCACTGCGCGTCGTTTCTCTTCTCTCTGTTCCGTTCGCTTCGCATACAAAATAAATGTATTCAAAAGTCCATTCTCGTTATTTGACTTATTTAATTCCGTTATTGACTAACGCGACTTAAGTCAATGATTATATACGAGGATAGGCGATAACAATCATTCATACGATCAAATTGGAGTCAGATCACAGGCCACTAAAGTGGAGAGCCCTTCGACAACATCGTCCGATCTAGATGACAACAAACCAAAGGGCCTCCACTAAAACCTGACCACACACTCATTAAATGACATTTAGAAGTAAAGTATACATATATATGTAAATGTAAACCTACCGTCAACTGATCATTTAGACATTCACCAACATCAATTAAATCTTTCAATAAACTAGACATCATTTCAGTATATTTCTTCTTTTGATTTTGATGTGTATCTTTCAATTGAGATAATTCACCATCTTTACTATGCATTAATCTAGTCTGTTTTAATAAAGATTCTTGAACTTCTTCTAATTCTTTTGCTTTTGAAGCAATCTCTTGTGCTTTTTGATCATAATTCATAGCTAATTCTTCTAAAGCTTGTAAAACTTCTTTAACCTCTTCTTTACTCGATTGATATTCAGCCTGAAGATGGAAAAAAAGAAGACGAAATAAGTGACTGAGTAAAAAAACGGGAAGGAAGAGAGTAAGAAACTATTAACACAAACAATCAACATCGATCTCAATAGTTCAATGGTATTGTCTCCGACTGTGAAGCTGAATGACATAGTTTCCTTTAAGAATCCGGGTACGTAATTTCTTTATGAAGTTACGTTTTCTGAGGTAGATGATTTAATTTTCTACCTGAAGTTCGTGCTGATGATTTTATTCAAAAGAACAATGAAAATTTCACGACTAAACCATCCAACTCAGAGAACGAAACTCTACCCAAGTCATCTACCTGGGCTAGAAATCTTCTGTAACATCTCGAATACTCATTGGTTGATGAGTTCTAGATAGCATAAAATGCGACTACCTCTAATCATTTAAAATCAAAGTAATTACTGTTTAGTAAGACTATGAGTACATCTAACCATTAAAGGATTAAATTAAGGAAAAATCATATGTGAAGACTACGTCATCTCTCTTGAAATACTACTACTTTCAAACAACTATGTGGTATTGTTTCTTATAATTATGTCATACATTTACTCCTTTGAAGTAGCAAAGGTGTTCTCATAGAAGTATGCAATAGTGGAAGTACAATATTCAATATTTATACTGAACAGGTGGATACTAGAAGATCTGGCTGTGAGAACTTAGGAAACTATGTCAGTTTAAAATGACTACGTCTCTTTACATGAACCGGATACTTTTTAGTTTAGTTTTCACTACCATTTCCTATTCAATATTTCTCCTCAAATGTACGAATGGTTTGTGTCATGAAAAAAATGAGGTATTCAAATCATAGCCACAATGAGTGAAAGTCAAGTATGTAAAGCATGACAAGAATCAACCAAATTAAATAACTAAACCCTAAAATGTGTACAATATTAAAAAATTGTTTTGTTAAATAAATGCTTAAAGGAAACAAAAAAAATATTATACTTGGAGGTTTGTGATCTCCTTCAGTTGACCTTCACGTTCTTTACGTAAAGTATTGATGATTTCGTCTTGTTCTTCAACTTGTTGTCGAAGACGAGCAATTGTTTGAGCTTGTTTATTAATTTCATCATCTTTATCATCAAGTTGTTGATAAAGAAACTGTAGTTGTTCATCACCGACACCACCCGCGGTTGGACTGAGAGTATCACTAGTGGCAGCTACACGTGATGATGGAAATGAACCGGTGCGCGCTGTGAAAGTGACAATAACAATAGAAGGGTTAAGATGGTTTATGACACATGAGTATAACAATCTAAATAACGCAAACAAAAACATTTGACAACTAACAATTTCAAGACATGAGACATTTAGTGGTTACAATTTGTAAGCAGTAAGCTTGAATTTCAGTGTTGAAAAAAGATGACTCGAATTATAGCAAACCATCACTATTATTCAGACAATAGTTGTGAAACAAATCATTTAGTAGTACTCAGCATAGACAATGTAATACCAATAATTACAAAATTGACAAACTGTTCTTATTGTCAAGGTTAAATGAAACAGTATAAAATTGTCCATTATCCACTAATTGACTATAATTAACAACCAGATAAACAGTGAAACTAAGACTGGATACTAACCATCCTAACCAACGTGACAATATAATTACTGGAGGAGATAGATTCAAAAAGCGATGATAAGTAACGTTTAACAAACAAGTAATCACCAATGATATTATAAGTTAGGTTGCTAAGTATGTTAGGTGAACTTCTACCGTACATAATGAATATGTGTAGGCGGGATATTGTATATTTCTAGTGTATAAAGAGAGTTAATCCTAGCTAGTCAGTCGATAGTGAATGATGGAGAACATGGGATAAATGTACAGCATTAATCCAAAATGTCAAAGCTTTCTAATCAATAATAGTAAGAAAGATTAGATGTTATAAAAAATACACTCTCTTAAAAAAAGAGAATGAATGAAAAGGTTAGATAGTAATTTTTAAAATAAAATATTTAGGTGCAGATTAAAATGATAAACAATTCTGTGCTACAGAGAACAAACTGTAGGTACATTATTACCCAAGGTCTTTCTCTCTCTCTCTCTAACTACTAATCAGTTATTACATGAAAGCAAACCAAGTGATAAAGACCTAAGACTTCATGGAACGAGATGCCAACAAAATTCATAATAAAAGACTATTAAGAAAGGTTAAACACACGAAGACCATAGTTTAAAATGTAACTTTAAAGTATATAGATTAGTAATAATGCTGCAACTGATTGGGTTACACCATAATGTGAAAATGAACGATAATAATGAACCACATACAAACAGAAACAAATGAATGAAATTTGTATACATTTAAGACAACAAATTTATTATGAAACACTCAAATCAATTAGATAGAACACCAAAACATCATTCACAGATACAGTTTGAAAATGAAACAAGGAAAATACAAAGTCAGTCAGCTACAACGTAGAACCAGGAACATATATGCATCGGTTCAAGTTGCCATACCGCATTAGCACAACAAGATGAACACCAAATTCATAGGAGTGGTTAAGTCAGTGGTGGTAATATATAAAAGGAAGATTGTGTATAAGGATATAGTACAGGAGGAAAGAATTAGTTCGTAGACATATGAAGTGATTTTAGTCTCTTAGGTTAAGAGAGTGTGTGTGTGTGTATACACCTACGCCACTGTGATCGATTCTGAGTCATGTCACCAAGAGTCTCCAACCATTGGTTACGTTAGTCACGCCGACCCCAACCAGGTAGTCTGTATCTACCAACATGGCTCAGACTAGAAGTTAGTATCTTCAAACACTGATGCCACGTTTTGGCCACCTCTAACTTTCTTCCAACCATCCCCAAAACACCAGTTAGCATTGCGCGTCGTGGTAATCGGTGTTCAGGCATACGCAACACGTGGAAAATACAAAACAGAAAATAAAAATGAAATTACTTTGAGATATATTTGATAGTTGAACACTTTGTGGTGCAGTTGACGAAATGCTATCTGACATGAGTTTGGTTGGAAATACATCTGGAGTTGTTATGTCCTTTGCATCATCTATGGCAGCTGAATATTGAGCTTCTGTAAACCATTCAGTTTGACTGACAGATTCACCTGAAAATTTAAAGTATAATGGAAATTATTATGAATGGATTATTCTTATTATTTATAACAATATAGCAAACGTTTATCTTATATGTACACAGAAATAATCAAATATAAATTTTGGAGTTAAGTTCACACAACACAGGTAAGGCATTCTAATACCTAAATTATAATTTGGGTGTTAATATGTCTTATCTTTTTGATCCCTGCAGCACTAATAATCCCCGAGGTCATAGCAAGACGGTTCACAAACCGCGATCTAATAAACTTAAAGTGGGTCCCGTTTTTCTCGTCAAGTCGTCAATGACTGGAACACATTACCCGAACAAGTGGTATCAGTCCCATCAGTGAATATTTTCAAGGAGAAACTGGACATTCACTGGAAGGCAATCTGTCAGGATTAACACAGGTTTACCAACCTACTATCCTTATTACTGAAAACTAATACTGAATATCATACGAGTCAGTATGAAATCCTATAATGTAAACCAAGTAGATATAAGTATGATATAGTGTAGGAATTGGCTTGTTGTGCTAATAAGGCGTGGCAACCTGGACCGATGCATATATGTGCCTAGTCCTAATTTGTGACTGACTGATAGATACATGGCTATTGATGCGTTTCTAGTGAAACCACAGACAATTTCCATCCTACATAAAGTTTTATGCACTAAGCCTAACTATTTGAGCCGTGGTTCAGTGGTTAGTGTTTGACTTTAAGTCGCTAAGCCCTTGATTCGAACTCCGCTCCATCTACTTTGGTTTGAGAAACAGGGTAGTACATTAGTCCTCATGATTAGGGTGTGGCTCATACCCAAGTACCTGGTGAGGTTTGGAAATATCTTAAACCTGAAATATCTAAACTGCTAGATACGCATTGATTTACTTTAAGATACAAATAGTCGAATCAAGAAATAACACCAATCTATGAAGTTTTGAACTGTTGTTACAAATTTTGGTCGGAATTTATGACTTGACAATAGCCAGTGACCAGAAGTTAAAACATAATCATCCTTTATCTAGCTCTAGATTTCAGACATTTCAATACTCTTACTTCATGTACTCTACACTCGTTTAGATGGCTGATAAGGTTTTAATCTTATATATATCCGCTCGTACTGCTGTACTCAATAAACACATACTATCAAAGCTTTATCTAAACCAGTGGAAAAAAGTTGAATTCATCTCAGACACAAGCGCAAAACTTACCACCTCGCCAACGTTTCAGTTCACTTTCCAAATGAGATACAATATTGTGAAGTTTCCTAACTTTCTCTTTCTCACGTTCATATCGTCGTCGCCACTCATCAGCAGTTAGTTCTTCATTTACAGTGACTAAATTCTTGATTGTTTTAGCGCGCATGCCAAACATAAGAGTTGATTTTGTCTCAGCATCGTTAAAAGCAGCTGGTGAACAACATATCACCATTGTTGTCCGTGCATTACCACCCAGAGATTCTTGAAGAATACGCGTCAACTTAGAGTCACGGTAAGGAACGTGCGACTGAGAATAGAAAATTTATTGAGAAGTGACTTAACAGATAATGTACTTAATTTTGTAAAAATGGGGAGACTTTAAAATTTGCCATTTCATTACTGAGTACACAATTTTATTACTACTTCAACAATAAATATGCGTTGTAAAACTATTTTCTGAGTCGTTTACTCAATGAAAAGTCAACTTAAATTATCATATTCCGAAAAGTTCAGTTAGAATCTACCCGATAAATATGCTAGCAACGTGCGGTTACGTTAACGTCAATGTTTCTCATGTAACTCTGCCTGCAGCCCTTCCAGGGTTACTGCCGGTCCCAAGCATAAATGGAAGATTGGACATAAGGTTAGCAACCCCATCCAGTAAAAACGAAACGTGAGAAAAAAACTAAGCGAAAAATAAATTTTTGGTTCACATTACTCAGAATAGTTTAACAACCAGTTCAAAACTGAAATTCTAATTCGACCACTGTCTCTGACGGACAACCGAATCATTATAATCAGTCCAAGTATACGAAGACCATTTAAACAAGAGTAGATAAGACTAAGCTTCCCTTCAGCTATCACCGGGGTCAACAAACATCAAAGAAACTCGAGTAGGTGGTCGATCGTTCATCAACTGACAATAATACACGATTCTGAAATCATACAAGTATTGTAAAGCTTAATCTTAAGATTACATGATAATTTCAACACATCTGAAACAACCAAAACAATAATAAAGTGTAAAACTTACGCTCCCTTCTACAAGTGCATTGATCACATTACCGAGAGCAGACAACGATTTGTTGATATTTTTAGCTTCATCCAAAACAGTACCCTCGGCCCCTGTTTTAGCAACTTTCTCACTACCAGCTAAATCAACAAGATAAAGTTTTCCATGGAGTTTTTTCTGCGTTTCTAAATTTTCTTGTCGAACCGTAATCATGAATACTGAATGACTTCGAGAACTATGTTCGTTCATGTCTACACAATGATAAAACGATAAGATGATAATAACAGAGAAAGATAAATAAGCTTAGTCTGAAAAATATTTGGACTGAAATAAATTCTGGACCTTAATAACTCCATATAAAATCTCACTACGTAGTCTGTTGGTACCAAATACGTTTAATCACTCAGTGCTAAATGTATGTAGCTTTTTTATCGTTAGATGTTAACTGAAATTAAATGACTTGTAATCGGACGTTTTAAGTACTTGGATAATATTACAGAAAAATTGTTAAAACTATATTTGCTGAAGTAAAACAGTATCTGGTCAAGCTGTTATACTACCCAACCACTGGTTACTAGAGGCAGTGTACCTGGAGTGTTTCAGATGACTCAATTGGGACAGTTATATGGTATTGCCGACCCTCACAAAGTCATGCCGCTACCAATAATTTCAAGTCTATAACTTTAGGTACCACCTAAAGCATATCAAAATACCACTTTTTAGTTAGCGGTACCTGTATGTTGAGAAACCATTGTGTATAGCTTCAAACAATAATAGGTCTCTTCAAGTTACTAGGTTTTCAACAATCAAAAGTGCATCAACAGCAAAGGATAAATAAATTCAACTTTTAGTTAGGAAAAATCCTTAAGATATCTGTATTTCTGCTTCTTGCACGTGTTGAGGCAGAACGCAAGATACAATAGATACATAATGCTAATTAGTGTCATGGAAACATCTTCCTTATTATTGTAATGAGACTGAAAACAATACTTCATTTGGCAAGCAGTGGTTTTACGCACTAAGTATTAAGTAGGTAGTGGAAACTACGAGTCAGACTTACTTGTTACAGCCACATGACGATTGGCTTTCCCCTCATCAATGACGTCAAATACTTCTTCAGGACTAGACACAAACCGTTCTGTGGCTCCCTTAAGGTTTTTAATGAGAAAAAACTGCAAATGTTACTTTAACATAAGGCACTCGATCTTTATCTTCATGGACAGGTAGATTTGTCTTTGAAACTAAGCCAGGATATACATTGAATGACAGACTTACCATCAAGCAAATCGCGAATCTTATCCATGTATATTTCAAAATATGAAACCTGAGTATTAAAAAATTATTTTAAAGAGTTACTTTGATATGAAATTCAAGGTTTTCATCCATTTGGTAGATGTGATTGAATATGTCGTGTATTATCCGGGGAATAACACCCTGAAAGACTGGGTCACCTAGAATCCCCTGAACGAAACGTTATTAAGCGAATATTCATGCCTCCATAGTAAATGTTTTTCCACTCGATGTCTGGCCGTAAGCGAAAATTGTGCCGTTATATCCATTTAGAACATCCGCAACAATTGGTTTGGCAACAATTTCGTAGACTTCTAACTGAGTTGCTTTAGGTTGTACTACATGATCAAAGTTAAAGTTTTTGCCCTAAAATAAAGTTATACTGATCCAAAAAAAAGCTTACTCCAATCGATATTGCCGTTTTGCCATCACCAGGAAAAGATACAACAAACTTGCTGTCGTTCGCCTTTTCTAAATCATTGAGTGGTCTTACACGGCAAATGACCTTTATGCTCTCAGACATATTAGACCCTGCCCGAAAATGTAGGTCCGCCAAACGATGTCAGGAGAAAAGCGCGCCAACAAGTAGCTGGCATAAATCACCTTCGCCATCATCTCACTAATATAGAAATTGTTGCATTGAATAGCTTCAAACTCCAAACTTTGTTGACAGGAAAAAAAGAGTTGATCTCTATGGGAATCCGCCTTAACATCACGAAGAATGCTACTTTTTATATCCGAATATTATAAGGATATACTTTTGTTTTAGTTCCTGAGAAACTCAAAAGAAATAATACTCCAATCAAGAATTGTGTTCTTTGAACGGACAACTAGAGGTCTATGAAAGTTCTTTGATAAAGTTTTTACATGAGTGTTTAATCTTTCAATTAGCTTGCTTGAACAGTCGATAATTCTCTTGGCAAGTGGTTCGAAGTTTCGAATACTCCTGGGGGAAACCTGTTTACGACGGAACTTTTATTCGTTCTTTTGTTTCAAAATACCAAACTGTGTAGTCCAAGATTTCCTGTAATAGTCAGAGTGCAACGATAGGGTGAATGAGGTTAGAAATCAATTTTTAGAATGACGTGTGTTACTTTAGTGAGTTGTGACCGGATTCCGGCTTGCACGTACGGATGAAAACGATGTATATTAGACCTAGGCTAATCACGTTTGAGCGATGTCGGCAATGAAAAGCCAAATATGGAGTAAGTTGGATGAATTTATTTCATCCACACGCTTACTGTGGTAGATTTTAAGTTGACAAGCAAGAAAGCGAAACAAAGCGGAGCGGAGAAGGCGAGCAAACCAACTCCATCTAATGGAGTGTAACTCGCTTTCTATGGCCGGGAGAAAATAAACTGATGGCATGTAGTGAATAGGGTAAGCAATACACGCACTCTCAATTAAAGATAGTGAACGTTACAAGCGAATAATGGACAGTGTGAAATATGAGTGTATAATGATTTATTAAGAATAAACTAATTGGTCCACCAAGAAGCTGGAATAACCTATGCAGCCTTGACGTAGTATTAACAAAATCACATCAACCTGCAATAAGATAAAGTAGAATGGTTTAGCTTTTGAAGTTGACCATTATGATGCAAGAATATTTGAAATTGAGTCCCTTGTTGTTCTCTATACTCCTCCTATGAACATTAGAAAAATTTAGATGCACCTGATTGTCTTGATGATGTTTTGCTCAGTTTGGTAAGACGTTGAGATTAAACTGAAGTGCATATCCCACCATTTCTAACCATGATTGACATCATCAGAATGACGAAACATTGCAGACTTGATGGCACATGAAAATTCGTTGATACATGGGACGAATAACAATGGGGCTGCTATCAAACAATGTGACGCCCTACGATCAACTTCTGGTTTTCAAGAGGAGACCTTAAACTAATAGCAAACCCCTTCGTTCGCCAAAGTGGGTGTTCGATGACTACCAAAATTTTCGGCTTTAGTAGAGACTTATTAAGCGGAACCTGGTCTGATTCTTTGTTTAAGTCATAGTGGACTGCATATACTGACCTTCCGTCGTCTAAAGGGTACACTCACTTCACGCACATTGAAAAATTTATTGTCCCCTATCAACCAGTCCTCAAGCGCTACTGAAAGGCGGTTAAGTACATAGTATTCCTTTGGATGAATCATTGGAGTGTACTAAGAATATCTACCTTGGAGTTGAAGTTCAAAACTTAAATACTTTCACTGATAAAGTGATTTTTATGCTCTGTTACGCTGAAAAGAATGATCAGCTTTAAGGTGGACGAACGTCTACTCTTCATCGTCAACATCTTGGTTTTCCCCAAGCCATAGAAAACTATTTCGAGACAGTTTCCACTCAGTGGGTGCTACGAGAAATTTATTCACATAAACTAAGGAGTACAATGAAAATGCTTACAGTCCACGAAACAAAATAGAGATTAAAAAAAGTGGTGGACAAGGAAAACCTTGATATCATTGCTACCTCAGAAACACGGTCAACGTCAGAAGTGTATGGTGGTGAAATTCAATTGCCTAGTTTCTTACTTGATTGGACAGACAGACTAAAGTGGAGGGGTGGTGGAGTTTACCTGAACACGGGAAGTACCTTAGCCATATGAGGTGTCAAAACAGTGGCAGGCGATTTAGGGATATGTGGACTGGTGTGCTGCAGGAAGAAAGTGTAAAAGGTAAGATATTGAACTAGTTTTAGTGTTTCGTGCCTTACGGTAACCCTCGCGTTGTTAATAGAAGAAACCAGACTCGTAGGAAAATAGGTTTTTATTTGGATCTTCGCGCAGCCACAGTGGAGCGTGGGATTCTTTACTCAGACAAACAAAACCTCTCAACAAGCAATATAAGATAGATAGAAATATAACGCCTAAACAAAATAAAGAAGTGAATAAATATCTGAACTATGCTGTTTTGATATATGCTTAGTTGCTTGAGATTAACTCTTGACAACCAACCTAAGCTGTTACATTAGCTGCTCCTTAGAATCGACTTCCGTAGGAACGTCGGTTCGATAACCTATTTATCAAAAGCATTCAAGTTCTGTTTCCGCAGTCCAAGGGAGGATTATCAACTCGCTCACTATGACTTCAATACAATGACAACTCCATCGGTCCGTGGATGTCTTTTCATTTGCCATCTTATTTTGTAGCATGCAATTTTTACTACACTATAGCTGACGGTTTGCAACGTGCTCGCAAGAGAAAGAGTTTGAGAAAATGGAACAAGAATGTCTGAGGAAGTGCCGCGAGCGGGCTACCCAACACCATGTTGGTGAGGTACGATTTTTCCGTACTCTGTCCGGCTATCAGGTGTTTACTCACCTGCCTCTTGAGTCGCCCTCAAGTAAAAAGTAAAGAAGAGTCTACTTCAAAGGTAATGATGAAAATCAACAAAACCTGAAGAACTGCTCCATTGCCTGCATAAAATAATAAGGTACAAAATGTAAATACATAAATATAGTTGATAATTATTCGGTTTCACGTGTTTTGCCTCGAGAAAAGATTGCTCGTCTGGAAGGAAATAGAAATAGTGTAGACATCTTGTGTACGGAAAAGTATAAACACAAAACAAGAAAAATACTCTTTTTGAATGCATATATATAAATGTGTAAACTTGCCAGAAGTCGGATTCCTTATTAAACCTAACCCAATGTATGACCTTAAGTCTATGGTGACCGCCTATTATAACCAGGTACGATGTAGCAGCGTTAAAATCATCATGTATGTGGTGTTAATAGATTCTATTTTCTTTCTATTGCAGGACGACCAAGAATAAATGCTTTAGAAGAAGAGCAAGCTCTACATGCACTGAGGCTACAGGACGACTGATAAGACTATTTTGTAAACTAACGCCCCCCTTCTGTACACTCCCGCGAATTTTAATATTTGAAATAATACATCACTGGTGGTTCTATTCCGTGTTCACTCTGTGTTGTGAAGTGCTCAGTTAACCTTGTGTGTTTGTGGTTTAGATCTTTCAGCTCGCTCCAGTGACTGCTGAATACACGAGTTACAAATGGTGATGTAGGTGACTACTAAAAATCTCAAACCAAGCTCCGACGAACCCCCAGTGCTTCCAGCCAAGGCATCAGTCAGCTCTAGCCCTAGTCCACCAGCACTTTTAGAAACTTCGTCTGACTACGCTGTATGGAAGATCAGGGTAGAAGCATACTTACGCCAAGTACCTGTTTCAGCACATTATGATTACCTCATTTCCTTCTTGAGTGATGAGTCGGTAAAGAAGGTAACTGCATATGGTTTTTCCCTGCACAATTTGCTGCCTCAAAATTGGAAAATACTGGATGACTGTTTCTCTCCAACAGTGGATACAGAGCACGTTACTATGCAGTTTCTAGCGCGTAACCAGAAATCCGCCGAGAGCTTGATAGAATACCTAGATGCTCTACAACAAATTGCTGTGCAGGCTTTTCCGGCTTTGGACGCCTCGGCACGGGAAGAGCTAGTGCGTATCCGTTGTGTTGAAGGTCTAGTACAAGGTCCGCTGAGAGAGCATTTGCTTCGGATACCACCAGTTAATATCGCCGAATTGAAGAAAACGGCACTCCGATTTATTACCGCAGACCGATTGGCAAAACCATCAGAGGACCATCGACATTCTGCGATGGCAGTAGACAGCAGCCCATTAGATAGTTCCTCGACTGTGACATCTGTCACACACGTTTCTAACCGCAGTATTGGTCGCGGGCGGTCCAACTGGTTGCGGAACAGACGACCAGCAGACAACAACTACCGCAGTCGTCGCAATGAATGTTTCTATTGTAAAAGGTTTGGAAGAAACGCTTGGAGATGTGGCCACAATCGGTCTCGTAATCCAGGTGAGCCGTGTCATTATTATTTATCTTCCTGTCATGCTAATCATATTAGCCCTATCACCCTAAAAGGTACGGTCCAAGGAGTTAGGACTGACGTACTGTTAGATACTGGAGCATCAGTATCTCTCGTCAAACAGGCATTCCTAAGGAAACTGAACCGTGACTTCCAACAAAAGCGTTGTTCCTCTGCGTTAATAACAGCTGGGGGGGAAACCCCTCAAAGTGTGTTATAAGACAGTATTGGACTTAACTATAGAGAAGCATTCGTTTCATCATGAATTTTTAGTTTGCCCAACATTAGCCTGGGATATGATATTGGGCGTCGATTTTATGTTGAAACACAAAGTCTCTATATATATGGATAGGGCAGAAGCCGAAATAGGGGAGACTACAGTACACCTACACCAGTCTGTAAGGGCAACTAAGCCTGTAACCCACGTCGGAATTTCAGAGCTCGTACGTCAGATACATAACAATCAAGTAATCACAGAGAATGATCGTCGCACAACGATTGCCGTGCTCCAGCAGTTTAGTTCTGTGTTCGAAGAAGGCATTTCCGGAAATCGGACCACTACAGTGCAACACTCCATCTTCACAGGCGACCATATGCCACTTCGACAGCCACCTCGTAAGGTACCAGTGCACTACCAATCGCAACTGGACGCAATGATAAAAGATATGCTAGATAAAAAGATCATAGTTCCTTCGTCATCTCCATGGGCATCACCTATTGTCTTAGTGAAAAAGAAAGACTCCTCTCTACGACTCTGCGTGGACTATCGACGCCTTAAT